AATCAAAGTCGTTTGTTATAATCTAAGGGTTGTTCTCATATATATATATATATATATATATATATATATATATATATTGTAACTCAAAGAAACATCAATATGAGATGTAACTAAAAGAAACATCAATTTGTGACACTTATCTAGCAAATTTTTAGAAAAAGAATAGTTAAGTTATTGTAAATATAAATAGAATCAAAAGGATCTTAAAATGAGGCAATGTATGTAGAGTTGATGATTTTTTGTAACTAATTGATCCCTTATTTTGCAGGTTCAGGAAATTAGAAAAAGTAGAGGTCTCTAGGAGCAAAGGGTTGAGCGGTTTGGTCCAATGGAGAAGAATTAGTCTCGGCCTCTTAGGCGCTCAACTCTTCAAAAGGGCTTAACCCTATGGATTTCTTCAAGGTGAAGAATTCTCCAAACTGCTCAACCGTTTCCCAGGCGTTGAGCGATTTCTTCTCTATCCTCCATGCCCTGTTTTAATTCCAACACATATATAAGGTTGAAAAATAAAAAGAAGGGGATCAAAGACAAAAAGAAGCGAAGAAATAAAGCAGGAAGTCCAAAAAACACTTGGGAACTGGGTTCTAGGGGTTTCTTCTTCTTCTTCTACACTTCTTCTTATTGTTTTCTAGTATTTTCCTCTACCACGAGGAGTTAAACTCTTTTAGTTAGGATTAAATGTAATCATCAAACTCTTATGTATTTCTTTTAATTCATATATTTCATGATCTGTTATTCAGTACCAGTGATTCTGATTCTGCTCTTAATGCTTGGATAAACTAATCATTTATCTTTGATTTTGGGTTTGGATTTTGGTCAGAAAATATTTTCTAAACCTCACTATGAATCAAATCACCTAGTAGTTTCGAAGGCTAGGAATAGATTTGAAGCTGTTAGTTGAAATAGTTTGTATTCATAATGCAAGGTATCTAACTAAATGAAGAGAGGGATCATTCTTTTAAGTTAGACGTCTTAGAATTTCTAAATATCAAGGAATTGATTTAGAATGAACCTATAGAACTCAATGGTATTGAATCATAGAATTTAGTCACAAGAATCATTAGGAATGTATACGAGTGAGATCAATGAAACTTAATCCCAACGATTTCATATATTGACAATCTACTATTTCACCAACTTGCATTTTATTCTGCGTTTGAATTACTTTGGTTTTATTTAAAAAATTTGATAATTCAAATTACTACAAATTTTATTTGAACAAGTATCAACTAGTATAAAGGAAATCATATTTATCTCACAAGTCTTTGAGATTTGACAATCTTTATTTCCATATATTGCATAGACTTGGTGTGCTTGCCTGAAAATCTCAACATATATATATATGTATGTATGTGTGTGTGTCAAATATTAAGTCTTTGTTAGCAGGTAAAAATATATATAATTGTAAAATCATCATTAAAATTGTATTTCGTTCATTAAATTAGTCCAAACATTAGCATTTGTTGTTAACATCGTTTAATGCACAATGGTAAGTTAAATGCCTATAGAAACCTCTCTCTCCTAGTTGGCCTTTTAGGAGTTAATTGAAAAATTAAAATTAGGTTAAAATATTTTTTTAATTATTTTATTTAGTTCTTATAATTTGAAATAGACATTTTAAATTTTTATACTTATCTCTTTCAATCTTTTTTAGTTCCTATATTTATGAAATTTAACTTCAAACAAAGTTAAAAAGAAAAAATTAGAATAATTTTTAATATATATTTATAAATTACTTGTAGATTATGTATAATAATTATCAAGGATAATCATGTAAATGTTTTAGTGGATAAGCCATCTAAGGAGATACCACCATATATTGTCTAGGTTGCACAAAGTAAAAAAGTAGAGAAATATTAAATAAAGCTATCAAATTTAGTAAAAACTATTTATATGTAAAATTAATGAAATTTAACTTCAAACAAAGTTAAAAAGAAAAAAAAAGAATAATTTCTTATATATATTTATTAATTAATTATAAATCATATATAATAATTATCAAGGATAAATGTGTAAATGTTTTTGTGGAGAATCCAGCTAAAGAGGCACCACACCACTAAATTATGTCTAGCTTGCATAAAGGATGGACCAACTAAAGTTGGGATGAATGCCTAATTAAACTAGATATCTTCATACTTTGATGTCTATACTGTGCAAACAATTGCACAATATGAAGATATCATGGCCATGATTTAGTGGCTTCATTAGTTCCGCGACTTACCCCATCCATCTCAATGTTTGATTTGGAGATTTTTTTCTTTTCATTTTATTTATTACCTTTTATTTATTTCTCTTTATCCATTTTATGTTTTCTTTTTAATTTATTTGATCGCATTAAGGATTATGATCATGTATAAGTGTGGGGAAAAGTGTTTCGCATCCCATATTTATGTACTAGCTAACAATCATACCTATCTATGCATGAGTATTAATGGATTCTATTACAACCTTAGGTAAAATTTTGCTCGCTAAACAAATTCCATAAATTGTGATATTTGTACCTAATTAAAGTAACATCATTTATACCTCTTACTTTCCTATGCTTTAAGTTTGTTTACTCTAGAACTTGTGCCAAAATGCTTCGTTTTATTCGAATTTAATTGCATTTGAATTGAGAGGACAATTTAGGTATTTCTTCATGAACTCCATAATTGTGATTGTATTTTACTAGTTAACCCACTTGAGTCTCCACATATCTATTTTTCTTAACTCTTGTTGCATTTACCGGTCTAAGTGTTTCCTTCTTTATGAGTTGGAAATGACTTTTAGTGTCATTATCATTCAACTTACAATTAAGATGGGCACTTACCCCTCATTCTCTTCTTGTACCATAATGCAACTAATAACTTTGTTCGAGACTGACAGGTAGATAATCAAGTCTTCGGTATAATGGGTGGTGTAGCCAACATTTGTTTTAACATTTAGAACACTTCTTCGTACACAATGATAGATCTACAAATTTTAAGGTGTAGAGGCATTATTTGATGTGTAAAATAGTATTTTAATATGTACATTGATAAATTATTATTTTATAATCTTTCCTTAGTTACTGATTTCAAGTTTAAACTCTTGATATATAACTACATTAAATATTTATGGGAAGAACTTTGTTACTCATAATGATTTTATCCAATTTAAACAACATTATTTCTTGTGAAAGACATTTGTGGTCTCTACAAAAAAAAAATAAACATATCAAAATGTATAGTTTAGATTTTGAATATATAATAAATAATTTAATTTTAGTATAAGATGAATTTAATTAACTATCAATAATTTATTTAAAAAAAATACTAAAATGTAATTTAAAATATATATAAAAAAGACTAGATCAAAAACATTAAATAGTTAAAAAAATCCAAGTATATAAATAAAGATAATTTAAAATAGTTAAGAAAGATTTTTATTTTTTAATTGTGGAAACAATATCTAAAACTAGAATTCATAATCACAATAAAAAGGATTTTTAAAAATGTCTCATTAAGAGTATAACAATAGGAACAAATTTGAGAACAAATACCCATTTTTTTAACAAATTTTTTATTGCACATAATACGAGTTATTTATTATTAAATAAGTATAAGTATATTATATATTACAAATGTTTAGAATTTAGTGGAGGCAATTATCCCTACAATGTTACATGTAGATTTGTCATTGTTTATACACCTTAGTCTACTAAAAGCTTTTGGAGATTTTTCAAAATATCCATTATGAGCTTGCTCTCTTGGCCATTCATGGGAGATAATGAGATAGGGATGCCATTCGTGTTGCCAACCTTTGAACTTCTTTTAAGTTTTTTTGGGCTTCTCATTTCCAAGGCGACCTAGCATTTGTCTCAATCGTCTTGTATCTAGCTAACAGATAAAATGAGGTCGACGAACTTTTTCCCTTCGACTTCGAATATACATTTTTTAGGGTTATGTCTTGTACACTACAAGAAATTTTGAAATTATAGACGACTAAAATTCGTGGATAATCCAAATAATTTGTGAGTAACACTTTATTTCTGACGGATTACAGACGGACAATAATTTGTCAGTAAATTGCTCGTCTAAAACATTTACTGACGGATTATAATCCGTGGGTATTTCCGTCAGAAAGTTACCCACAAATTATAATCCGTGTACCCACGGATAAAATTCGTGGGTATTGTTGATAATATTTTTAAAAAATCATTTCAAAATTATATTAAATAACATCCTTATTTAGTGCAATATCCCTCATATCTGACCTTTTAGCAGCTCTACTCCACGATACTTCATGCAACTCCTCGTTGGTTAGAACCCTCCATGGGTAACCCTTTTTAAGATATTCGTCCGCTTAGGATCAAATATTGACCCCACAAACCTCACAAATCAACACAAGACTTTTTAGTGTGCCTTGTCGTCACTTGCACATTTTTCTTGAAAAATTCTCGGAAGGTTACACATACCTAAATTACTTCATGTTAAGCACGTTTAACTGTGAAGTTCTTAAAGAATAAGCTACCAAAGAGTAGATGCATCTCATTGGTATAAATAGTACAAATTAACTCCTTTAAGTCATCTTCAACTATACAATCTCATACTTGTACAATCTTTGGATCTCTCTCATTCTAGTATATTTCACAAATTACAATATAATATAATACTATAATTTTAATCTAAATTAAAAAATACTAATATTTTAGTCTTTGTATTTCACAAGTTACATTTTTATTATATATAATTAAAATTATAATACATTATATATAAAAATAAATATTATAGTTAAATCATTAAATCATATTTAAAATTTGTATAAATATATATTAAATGTTTTTTTTGTAAAGATAGGAAAGATTACAAAGATGGTTGCAATGAGAATTGAACCTAGGTCCTCATGCTTCTAACTATCTCAACCTCTCCCCACCCAACCACTAGGCTAACCCTAGTGGTCAAATATATTTAATGTTAAAAAATGGTATATATAAAATTAAAATAAAATATATTATAAAATTGAAAGATAAAATGACTTTTTTTTAATAACCTATTTTCTTAGGTTAGTTGAGAAATTGATTACTAGATAATTGATTTCTCAAGGCTTTAAATTTTTTTTTTCAAAGCTTAGTGATAAATTGGTTACTTAATAATTGATTTCTCAATTGAGTTGTTTTTTTTTCTCATTTTTTTATATTTTATGGTGGAGAGGTAGAGACTTGAAACAAATACTTTTCACCTCCTAGTTGGTGAGTGCATGATCACTTTGAAAGATGGGGTGCTACAGTTGGATTCGAGGATCGACAACAAATCAGTCACTGGACCAACTTTCTTTGACTAAGAATAATTGTGTTATGAGTTGTTAGGCTTCATACCTCTAAAAAGGGAAGCTCTGATTGACTCAATCATAAAACTAAAATGGTTAAAAGATCAGACAATTGCACTACTGGATGAACCCACTGAACAACAATTGCACCAACATTGTAGGACATATATTTTAGGATTAATTGGTGGTGTAATTATGCCAGACAAGCTAGGTAACAAACTTTACTTAATGTATTTACCATTGTTGGCTGACTTGGAATATGTAGGACGATATAGTTGGGATTTTGTTTGTTTGGCACATTTGTATAGAGAAATGTGTAGGCAATTTAACTTATATATCACTTTAATACATCGAACAACTACATTCTACCTAATTTTAATTAATGTACAATTTTTTTAGATGGTCACGAAGAAGACTAAGATTTACAGACACGCCTCATGGAGATTTACTTGGCTATAGATTAAGATATGACAACATGAATTATAATGAGGTAATACAATGTCAACTTCTCTCAAACATACTCTCTTTTATTCAATTAATTTATATCCTAAACATTTTTCTTTTTCAGTTTCTGTGGATGCCATACAGGGGATTTGAGTCCTCGTTGCCAACATGCTTATAAGGATTCCAAAATATAGACTTCTTGTACTGTTTTAACTTCATTTGAGTCCTCGTTGCCAACAAGGAACTGATAACCTCCAAGGTGTGGAACTGATAGGCATAGACATCATTAAATTAATTTAATGTTATGTAATTTGGTGGATTGTGATTGCGTTGTTGTTCTTGTTTATTCGATCGCATATTCTGTTGGGATAAATATTTCAAAAATGTTCATCTCAATGAAAGTATTATTTGATTTCGTATGTCTCAAATTAAAGGAAAATAAAAAATAAATTAAATTTTACATATTTATAATTTTAACAATTAAAATATTAAATTTTCTATATTTTTAAAATATAATTTCATTATTAAAAATATATTATTTTTTATATTTTATTTGTGAATTTTAAATTAAATTATCTCTATTTTGTAAATAATTTTTTTTAATAAAATAAATAAGTTTTAACATTATCTTTATTTTTAACATAAATTTAAAAATATTATACATAATTTTTAAATTTTATATATAATATAATATTAATTATTTCAAAATAAGTATTTTCTACGAACAACATTTTAGAAAGATAATTCGTGAGAAATATCTGTATGAAACATCATAATTTTCCCACGGAAAAAATCTGTGGGTAATATCCATCTAAAATTTCAGACAGAAAAAATCTGTGGGTAATATCCGTCAGAATTATTTATGTTTCAGATAGACACATATCCGTCAGTAATGTCATTTTTTAGACGGATATTTATCCGTAGGAAAAAGTCTATCGGTAATAAGTATTTTTTTTTGTAGTGGTATTATGTTTTTGGAGTTCAGTAAATATTTCTGAGGTCATGGATGTGTTTGGTAAATCCATTGGACTTAACCACATGTCATCAATATAAACCTTCATGTTTCTATTATTATGTTTCCAAAAGATTTGGCCCATCAAATGCTAGTATGTAACTCTATCATTCTTTAAGCAAAATGGCATAAATTGGTACCCAAAAATTAGCAAATTTGACAATGAACACTGTATTCTCTTTATATAGGGGGTGCATCTTGATCTAATTATACTTGGAGTATGTATCAAGAAAACTCAAGATTTTGTGATTGACTAAAATATCCACCTATGGTCAATGTTTAGGAAAGGGCAAACATCTTTTGAACAAGCCTTTTTTAGGTCTTTGTAATTAGTACACATTCATCATTTTTCATTAATCTTTTTTACCATAACCACAGTAGTCAACCACGTGGTATAATGTACCCCTTGAATGAATCGAGTTGTTATGAATTTTACTACTTCCTTTTTTAATGCTTGTCATCTCGCTTCCCCATCTTTCTTTTCTTTTGGGTGACTATTCTCTCTAACACATTATGACAAGTGGTGACTCACCTAACATAGAAAGAACTTTCTATGATGAGTGAGTTTACACTTATTATAAAAGGTTTTTCTACATTTATATCTTTGTCATAATATCACTTTCTATGTCGTGTGGATTACACATAACATAAAATTTTTGTCACTAAAAACTCTTTGTCCACTAATTAATGTGCCTTCAACAATAGTGTTTATGACCTTTCTCGACTAACCATGAATGTCAATAGTGTTTATATTTCTTCTTTCTTAGGATCAATTTTTTTCATGCTTGACCCTTTTATCAAGTGCTTAGTTGTGATTATAACTCTCTTGGATAGGATCTCTCTGCCTCTTTATGGCCAAACTATTGATGTCTAGATGATTGTGGTGCCCCATAAGGTCTTTCAAATGCCCTTTATTAAGTCTTCGATCTTATTATTTAGAGTTGTGCACACCTTAGTAGAGCGACCTCTATTTTTGTGATATTTAATGGCATGTTTTAGAAAAGTTTGCCGTAGGTGGTGTGTTGTCGCACTTCATAGTACCAAGATCTCAATTGCCATAGTTTGCTCTAGTATTCTCACATTGCTAATGTTGAGGAGAGTATATTTTGGGTACCTTAGAGTCAGACCATGAAACAATTGATATTGAGACTAGCCTTCTTGACCTTTGGAAAAATGCTCCTTTCCTAGTTATTTTCTTCTTGAATTTGCCTCACTCACACTTGGTTGCAAAATTTGAATAACTTTTCCATCTGCATGTATTTGGTCGTTCTTCTCTAATAACTTAGAATAATTTTTATGTTAACTTTAAGGTTTACAAAGTGAGCTTAATAACAACTAATAAATGAAGGAATGACCTAAAGTATAAAGAATGAAAAAAATAAGTTTGAGTAAATGGATGTATTTTTCACACGTTAATTAAACTTATTAACTTATTCATTTTCAAGTATTGAATAACACGAACATTCTTTTGTAGGAGATGGAGGTGGTTAAAAAACATGAATATTTGAATTATACATTAATACAAATGTATGTTTAATCTAATCTCCACATATAAAAGCTATTATATACCTTGGTGTGATAGCCAAATCCTTTATTTTGTAGTTTTTTTAGTTGAAATTTTCTATTTTGAGATTAATATATTTTGATGACATTCATATATCACTAGTGGAAAATCAGCATATTACGTCACCCCTTTTACGTCGGAAATACGAAAATCTGACGTAAAAAAAATGCGGTGGCATTTTTGTAATTTTTGTGAACTTTTTTACGTTGGATCTGGTAGGGTCTGACGTAAAAAGTCAAATCTACGTCGGAGGTATGTTGTGTCCGACGTAGATTTGAACTTTTACGTCGGACCCTACCAGGTCCGACGTAAAAAAGGACGCAAATTTGAATAAGAGAGCGCGAGACACACCGCGCGCATTCACTCTTCATCACTTTTTATTTTTTTTCTCTGTAAACCCTCTCCCTCTCCTTTGTTACTGAATCGTTTTTTTGTCTTTTGCAGAGGGATGAACTCTTTGTTACTCATTCGCACATTGTTGCTGCTCCTCAGGTATGAATCAAGGTTTCGTTAGCACTTTTCTACTTCGCATTGCTACTGTGGCTATCTGTTTTATTCGATTTTTTTGTTGTTCTATTTGTATAGGTAGTGGGCGTTTTCTTTTGGGTTGTTCTACGAAGCAGAATGACTTGTTCTGTTTGCAGAACGGCCTGTTCTCCAAGCAAAATGGCCCGTTATGCTTGCATTCTTATGTTTTTTTTTATAATTTTTTTACTACTTTTTTACGTCGGATTTCGTAATGTTCGACGTAAATTTACGTCGGTTTTGCAGGTCCGACGTAAAATTTACGTCTCCCGCTTTTACGTCAGTATGTTTTCTGACGTAAAAAGCTCAAAATATCCGACGTAGTACACCTCTTTTGTACTAGTGTATATTGAAGGTTTTTCTCGTCACATCTATTATTTGGAAGAAAAAAAAAAAGACACTCTTTAATAAAAGTTGATTTTTCTTTTGGCATATCAATGAAGACCAAAAAAGGTCTCAAATGTCTCCTAAGCTATTGGACTTTAGCTTGATCCATCATACTATGCTTTGATAAGATGTTTTAGGCATCAAACTTTTTAGTTTGATATATTTGACGCTACCAAACAAAGACAATTTGAAGACATTAATGAACATTTCATGTTTTATTTAGATTCATTTAGTCTAATGTTTTGTTATTCGTCAACATTTAGTGTGTCATTATCTTAATTCTATGCATTAGACAGGTTTCTAATATTATTTTTCTATGAGCAATTTTTTTATTAAGTAATATGGTATAATAGATATACTTTAATCCATAAATAAAAGATTTCTAATGCAAATAAAATTTAATTGAAACACCATTCCAAATACATGTTTATAATTTTGTTATGTCTTTGACACTTATAACACATGTTAATTATTTCTCATTAGATTTCTAATTAAAAAACTATAGAATTTCTTATCAAATCAAACACTAAATTAACACTTCCTCGTAACTTAAACTCCTAGACCAACTCTTACATCTAAATAGATACCTCAAAGACACTAATTTTATTATAATTTCTTTTTGGTAAATATTCATAATAATCAACTTGAAAAATTTAAAACATTAAAAATAAAAATATTTCTCAGTATCTTTTTATGAAGATATTTATCATAGAAAATTATCAATTTAACTTTACTTGTTATGTTGTTATATGTATGCATGTTGTGTCTTATTAGTTGTTCTATATTTTGGATATTAATCATATTTGTACCTGTATGGTTACATTTATGAGTTGATAGTCTTACTTGGTCTTCTATTACCTTTTTTTCTCGCTCGAGAAAGTTACTTGCAAAGGCACATGGAGGTTTAAGTGAGGGTTTGAAATAGAGCAATAATTGTGCATTAATATATGAATAGTGCAATAATGAATAGTACCTACAGCTTGACTTACTCTCTATTTATATTAACCTTTTGGGCCTATGGGCCTTTTTGGGTGTTATATGTGATTACCAATTCGTTAAGGTTGATTAAGGGTGGGTTATCTTAGTGTAAATATCTCGTTGATCTTACTTATTGTTTCTTATTAATTACTAGTATGAAGTGATAATTTGTCTCTCATGGTCGACTAGTCTTCAACTTTGTGGGTATCCAAGGGGTGTTCGACCTCTTCTTTGGTCGAGAGGGGATTGATATTGTGTTCTTATGAGATGGTATTTTGACTTGTTATTATCATAAGTTGGCAAAGGTAATAGACCAGTCTTCAATCATAAGAGTGTTCAATATATATGTTTTTGGCCTTAGGAGCATCGGACTTATCTCCAACCTCTTTTTTTAGATAGAGGGGTGACCATTAGGGAGTACGATTCCTAAGGGTACAAGGTGTACTGCTCGAGTCGGAGGGTGGGTGGTATACTAGGTGCATCTAGAATAATATCAAAGTTATGTCTTTGCTTTTTTATCAATAGAAATTACTATCAGTGTTACGAAGAATTTTTTAGAATAATAAATTTGGACTTGTATTCTTGCTGAGTCAGCAAGTTAGTTAGTTGTTAGAATTGTTGGAGTTTAAATAGCTGTCAGGACAGAGGGATTAGGCATGTATTCTTGTAATCCTTCTATATCAAATTCATTCAATAACAGTACACTCTTCGGATTCCTTTCTCATATAGGTATCCCTATTCACTCTTGTTCTTCGAATTGTTACAATTCCTAGTTCTAAGAATTTTTCTAACAATTGGTATCAGTCTGTACGGTTCATTCGGAGTGTTGATCATGGCTGGCGCAACCCGTGGGGCGATGGACGCTCAAGCGTTGAAAGACATGGAGGAGCGAGTCTCAGCGCGATTGGAGGCTCGATTGGTTGAAGTTGCAGGTTCCATTCAACGAACCCTGGCAGATTCTTTAAAGGAAACTATGCAAGATTTGTTAACGCAGAATCATAGTCCGGGCTCGGGGTCTCACATTTCTCACGGTCCCTCTTCTTCTTATTCTTGTGGTACACGACTAGCCCGCATAGATTTTCCTCGCTTTAATGGCGACAATGTGAGTCAATGGCTTTATCAATGTGATAATTTCTTCCTTATTGACAATACCCCCGATGTTGTGCGGGTTAAACTTGCGGTGGTTCACATGGAGGGCCGTGCGTTGCAATGGCACACGACCATGGATAAAACTACCAATTGTTCTAATCTTCCTTGGGTTGCATACAAGAAATTGGTTCTTGAACGGTTTGGAGAAGTTTGTGACGATCCTATGGCTGAATTGATGCGTTTGAGGCAGAAGAAATCCGTGGTTGAATTTTACGAGGAGTTTGATGCCATTATTACTCGTCTGAATTTGTCTGAGGATTATATGTTGAGTTGTTTCTTAGGCGGATTGAAACATGATATACAAATGGTGGTGCGGATGTTTCAACCGACCACGGTGAGTAAGGCCTTTAAATTGGCAAGATTGTATGAAGCTGCTAATGTTCCACAAGCATTGAATTTTGTTAGTTCGCGGTCACAGAAAGGGGTGCTTGGTTCTAGACCAGTAATTGCAGATAAATTTGGTTCCTTGAAATTGGGGAGTGATAAGAGTAAGGATAAGGTGAGACCTGGCAAAAGCTTAACACCGGCTTACATGAATGAGCGGAGGGCCAAGGGTCTTTGTTATTTTTGTGATGAACCATATTCTCCTGAACACAGTTTAACACATAAGAGGTTGCAGGTGCATGTCATGGAGGTTCTGGATGAGGAGGAGGTTAGTGAAGATGTGAGTGAAGAGGTAACAACGGTGGAGGAACCTCAAATTTCAGTCAACGCATTAACGGGCATTGCCAATTTCAGAACAATGAGGGTCAATGGGTATCATAAAAAATCTCCTCTGCATATTTTGATTGATAGTGGCAGCACGCATAATTTTCTGGATATACAGGTGGCTAAGAAGTTTGGATGTAAGATTGAGAACATGGATCCTGTGAATGTAACAGTAGCAGATGGTAACAAATTGAGAATTTCTTCTATTGTGAGAAACTTCACTTGGACAATTCAGAGAACTACATTTACTTCAGATATGTTGTTGATTCCATTAGGCTGTTGTGACCTTGTATTAGGTGTGGAATGGCTGATCAAACTGGGTAACATCACTTGGAATTTTGATAAGTTGACTATGGAATTTAAAGTTCAGGGCAAGAAGCATGTATTAAGAGGGGCTACATCTAGCGGTATTAAGACAGTAAAAAGGCAGCAGATTGGTAAAACTTTGGAGGAAGGAGTATATTTTTCAATGATGCAGTTATGTACAGAGGATGGAGGATTGCTGCAATCTCTAACAACTCATGCAGATCAACCTGGGTTACCAGCAATAATAGTTCAGATTTTGGAGGAATTCTCAGATATTTTTGAGGAACCTGAGCAGCTGCCCCCTTTTAGACATGAACATGATCATAAAATACCACTTGTACAAGGAGCTAATCCAGTTAATAAGAGACCTTATAGATATGCCAAGCACCAAAAGGATGTGATTGACAAGTTAGTACAAGAATACTTAAAGTCGGGAGTGATACAAAATAGTAGTAGTCCCTATGCGAGTCCGGTAGTGTTGGTGGGAAAGAAAGATGGATCATGGAGACTCTGTATTGACTATAGGGATCTGAACAGAAATACGGTGAAAAACAAGTTTCCAATACCATTGGTGGAAGATTTAATGGATGAGTTGCAAGGATCTTCAATTTTTTCCAAGATAGATTTAAGAGCCGGGTATAATCAAGTCAGAATGGATCCGGAGGATGTTCATAAAACAGCTTTCAGAACTCATGGAGGACATTATGAGTATGTTGTCATGCCTTTTGGCCTGACTAATGCACCTGCTACATTTCAAGGTCTTATGAATACAATATTTCAGCAGTTTCTCAGGAAGTTTCTTTTAGTATTTTTTGATGATATACTTGTTTACAGTGGCAGCTTGGATGACCATGTTATTCATCTAAGACAGGTTTTTATTACTCTGAGGAATAATTCTTTGTTTGCTAGGAAGTCTAAATGTTTCTTTGCTGTCAATAAAGTAGAATATTTGGGGCATTTCATTAGTGAGAAAGGTGTGTCCACAGACCCTAGCAAGGTGGAAGCTATGAGGAATTGGCCACTACCACTAACTATCAAACAACTACGAGGTTTTTTGGGGTTAGCTGGTTATTATAGAAGATTTGTGAAGGGTTTTGGTGTTGTGGCGAAACCCTTAAGTGATATGTTAAAGAAAGATAATTTTGTTTGGACTCAAGAGGCCAAGGTGGCATTTCAGCAGCTTAAAGATTTATTAAGTAATACACCTGTTTTGGCTTTACCCGACTGGAATAAGGTTTTCATTGTGGAGGTAGATGCTTCTGGTTTCGGTATTGGAGCAGTACTTATGCAGGATCATCATCCCATCGCTTACATCAGTAGAGTATTAAACCAACAGCAGCAATCTTTATCTACTTATGAAAAGGAACTACTGGCTGTAGTATTTGCGGTACAAAGGTGGAGACATTATCTTCTCAACAGACATTTTGTTGTTAAAACTGATCATTACAGTTTAAAATACTTATTGGATCAAAGATTGACCACTGTTTTCCAGCAGAAGTGGTTAGTTAAGCTAATGGAATTTGATTTCTCCATTGAATACAAACATGGTCATGAAAATGTTGCAGCTGATGCTTTATCCAGAATCGAGCATGAGGAGGATTATGTGGAATGCAAAAATCTGACTACTCATCAATTACAATCTGATTTGGTGGACAGGATTAAGAATTCATGGGTGATTGATGTTAATATCCAAAAATTAATTAGTGAATTGCAAATTAATGCTGCCTCCCACAAACATCATACTTGGCATTCAGGAGAATTGAGGAGAAAGGGTAAATTAGTAGTGGGAAAGGATGCGAAGCTCAGAAACGATCTTTTAAATTGGCTACATTGTTCTGCTATTGGAGGTCATTCTGGTATTGGTGCTACTATGCAAAGAGTCAAGTCAGTGGTGTATTGGAAGGGTATGTCATCAGATGTTAAGACTTTTGTATCTAAGTGTACCACTTGTCAAAAATGCAAGAGTGTGACTATTGCATCGCCTGGACTGCTGCAACCCCTTCCAATTCCTGAACAAATTTGGCAGCACATTAATATGGACTTTATTGAAGGTTTACCGAGTTCTTATGGAAAACAAGTGATATTTGTAGTGGTTGACAGATTGAGCAAATCTGCTCATTTTATGGCATTATCACATCCTTATACAGCCAGTGATGTAGCCCAAACTTTCATGGATCATGTCTTTAAGTTGCATGGTTGCCCAAGCTCAATAACTAGTGATAGAGATCCAGTATTTGTTAGCAGTTTCTGGCAGGAATTTATGGCATTTCAAGGCATTCAGGTTCAGCTTTCTTCAAGCTACCATCCTCAAACGGACGGTCAAAGCGAGATAGTGAACAAGTGTTTGGAAACTTATCTAAGGTGCATGTGTGCAGATACTCCCCATCAGTGGAGTAAATGGCTGCCTTTAGCTGAATGGTGGTACAATACCACTTACCACACAGCCATTAAAGCTACTCCATATGAAATCATGTATGGTCAACCACCTCCAGCTTATCTTCCTTACTTACCAGGTGAATCCAAGATTGAGTTGGTTGATAGGAGTTTATCAAAAAGGGAAGAGATGCTTAAATTGCTCAAATTTCACTTGAAAAGAGCTCAGGAGAGAATGAAGCAACTTGCTGACCAACATAGGAGGGATAAGCAATATCAGATAGGGGATTTGGTCTATGTGAAACTGCATCCATATAGACAAGTGTCAGTGGCTTATAGGAGCAACGCTAAATTAAGTCCTAAATTTTTTGGCCCTTATAGGGTACTGGATCGAATTGGAGAAGTGGCTTATAAATTAGAATTACCTCCACAGTCAAAAGTGCACAATGTATTTCATGTTTCTCAGCTTAAGAAACATATTGGTAATACAACAGCATCATCAAATTTACCATTCCAAGCTGAAGATGCATTTTATGAAAAGGAACCTGAATTGATATTGGACAGGATGACAATAAAAAGGAAGGGAGTAGCTGTAACCAAAGTACTAGTTAAATGGAAGCATAAACTACCAGAAGACTCTACGTGGGAATTTTACTATGATCTTAAAAAAAAGTATCCATCGTTCCATCCTTGAGGTCAAGGATGTTTCCAAGAGGAAGGCATTGTTACGAAGAATTTTTTAGAATAATAAATTTGGACTTGTATTCTTGCTGAGTCAGCAAGTTAGTTAGTTGTTAGAATTGTTGGAGTTTAAATAGCTGTCAGGACAGAGGGATTAGGCATGTATTCTTGTAATCCTTCTATATCAAATTCATTCAATAACAGTACACTCTTCGGATTCCTTTCTCATATAGGTATCCCTATTCACTCTTGTTCTTCGAATTGTTACAATTCCTAGTTCTAAGAATTTTTCTAACAATCAGTAAGAAGGATTTGGTCTATAACTTTGTGCATATTATTAGAGTGGCTTTAAGAGTTTTGGATCCATGTCTTTGTGATGGAGTTCATGTTTCATAGGTTACAAGAAATAGGAGACAGGTATGGATAGAAGCTAGTCATAGTATAAAGTGATGATGTCATGGGTTATGTAGATTAAATATATGCATATTTGATAGTAGCTCAAAAAATTGATTGAGTCATAACATTAATCATTTTTTTCATATCACCTATGGCATACTACTAAAGCTTGATTGGGAATGAGTTATTCACAATGCAAACTTTTCTTTTGTACATCCTAATGAATTAACAATAGATGGTTGTAATTGAATGAACAATAGATATATGGTTATTATTATCTAACACTGCACAAAATTGAATTGTAAAATCTCATTGATCAGAGTTAAGCAACCCATTTTCCTCATCATTTTTATTGTCCTGTTCTGTTGTTTTCTGAGCCAGTTCCACTGCTCTCTTACATTGTTGCCCCCAATCTGTTTGAATCAATGTGTAAACCATCATGCAAAGACAAGAAGCTTGTGCAGCCACCATTCCTGACCACAAACCCACCAACTCATATTTGTATATGAAGGAAGCAAAAACAGAAACTGGCAACCCAACAAGGTAAAATGCACATAAGTTTATTCTAGCACCCAAATAAGGTCTTGCAGTCCCTGACAAAATCCCACATGAAACTGTTTGAGGCCAGTTGCTAACCTCACACAACCCAAGAATAGGAAGTATAGTTGTGACCATCTCAATAATTTGCATCTCATCAGTGAAAAGTTTCCCCCATGATTTTCTCACAAAGAAAAGCAAAATGAAGGCAGAGATTCCCAAGGTGAATGCAGTGATGAAACCAATTATGGCTGTACGTTGTGCCTTGGATGCTTGCCCTGCACCTAATGAGTGACCAATTCTTGTTGTCAAGGCTATGCTTAGAGAAAAGGGGAACACATACAAGAACCCTAGTGTTTGAATAAGGATCCCCATGGTGGCAACTGTGGTTTGTGGATTACTTAAAAGGCCACATAGAAAGAGCATGATCTCATACCACCACCACTCCAAGCACACTGAAAGGCAACTAGGCAAAGCCAAACTTAGCAAAGGCTTCCACCCATGAAAGGCTGAGAGAATTGTGGTTGTAGCTCCTTGCCATGGCTTGAGTGGTTTCTTTGAGAAGAAAACATAAAGCAACAAGCCTAGAGTCATGTTGATTGAGTTCAAGCCAGTGGCTAGTGCAATACCCTTTACTCCTAAGTTTAAATATGTGGCCAAGAAATAGTTGATGGGAAGATGCAAGAGTGCTGCACAAGATGCAGCTATGGTGACTGGGGTGGTTAAGCCTTGGGTTCTCAAGAAGGATCTGAGAGGATTAAGATGAGCCTGAGCTAGCAACTCTGGGATAGAGAAGACCATGTAAACTTGGGCAACTTTTGTGACTTGAGGGTCTTGACCGAGCATTTGAAGGATGGGTTCCATGTTTAGCCACAAAACGGAAATGGGGATGGCAACAAGTAGGAGGAGACATAGAGTTCTAAAAAAGGTTTGGTTAAGAATTGACCATCTCTTGGCTCCATAAGCTTGGCAACAAATTGGATCCATTCCCATTGAGAGGCCTTTGAGGACTGAATTTGCAGTGATGTTAGCAAATCCAAGTGCTAGTGACCCTCCTGCTAACTCTACTTTTCCTTGCCGACCCAAGAACAACATGGACACAGCAGATCGAGAATACATCATTAGGCTTGTCATTATTATGGGGCATGAAACCTTTGCAAGTGATTCCAACTCTTCTTTCAACTGCATACAGTTGCATTTCTCATATTTGTTAGTAATCACAGTGTATTGTGATAGCTTAACACACACACAAACACCAAGTTTCTTTAATGAATTAAACTTGCATTGTGATAGCATTTCGCACGTTAAATCAAAGCAGTTTCTTTAATGAATTAAACTTGAATTGTGATAGCTTAACACACACACAAACCCCAAGTTTCGTGAAGAATAATTAGATTACACTAATGATACATTATACTCCTTGTTTTGAATTTAAGTAAAAAAAAAAAATCAATTTACACTAATCAAGAAAGATTGTTTACATCATTCAATTTTGTCAAATTAAAAAATATTAGTAACTTATTTTCTTAAACTATATTCCTTGAAACTTGATATAAAAAATGAAAAAAAAACATTGAAAATATAATCTTAATTAAATAAAAAAGTATTTTAAAGATTACAACATTAAATAGTGAGATTCGATTATATTTCAAATCAATAAATAGAAGTGTCACAAATCTTATAATCATTTTATTTTTCTTCTCTCCAATTTTTAGTTTTTCCTAGCTGACATTAACGACTCACATTTATTTGTGTGGCTTTGTGCACAAAATTTTAATACAAGAGTAATTTCGGATTGTATAATTTCCATGCATGAGTGAAATAACACGAGGACAATAACAATGTTTTTATTTATTTTTTATTTTTCAAATACAAAACAATTTTTGTTCATATAATTTTACTTTAGTCTTTATAGTTTAAAATAATTTTTTTTAGTTTCTATATTTATTCTTTTTAATTACTTTTAGTCCTTATAGTTTTAGATTTTCGTAGTCCCTGTACTTCCCTTTTAAATACTTTTAGCGTATGTATTTAATTATTTTGTATCGTCATCTCTTTTGTATCTTTAACTTTATTTTTTCATGTCAAATTTATTTTGTCAAAATTATTCTAAATTTAGTCTCTTGATGCTTTATATATCTTTTTTACCCTTACAACACTTATTGCTGAGACACACATTGTCCAATTTTTTCATAAGGAACATTGTCGAAGTTAATTAGCATGAGTACGAGTCACTAAATTATGGCAATGTTGCTAGTGAAAAAACCTAGACAATGTGCGTTTCAACAATGAGCATCTCAAGTGAAGGTAAAAGATACATGAAGCATTGATGAAACTATTTTAGGATAATTCTAATAAAAATAAATTCAACATAAAAAACACAAAATTGAATACCTCTGTGACCTCAGCATAAAAGATATGTCATTATAAAGAAATTAATGGCATAAACTGAAAAAGGATGTCAATCTTATATTATAAAGACTAAAAATGATTAGAAAAAGGTAAGTATAGAAATTAAAAATATTTATTTTAAATTATAGAAACTAAAGATAAAATAAGTGAAAAATATAAGAACTAAAAATATATTTTAATCTTTTTTAATAGACATAGTGTCCTAAAACTAATAACTAAAAACTAATCTACACTTGTAGAACGTAATTTTGACTAAAATTTTAACATGTATGAAAATTGAATTTAAGACCACTAATTTGACCATATATTTTAGAGTAGATATAATTACTAAGTTAATGGACTTGATTTCCATGCTAAAATTAAATCAAACTATTAAACTCATTAACTATCATGTAAGAACTTGAGATTCTTTTGATTAGCGATTCGTAATTTATGTCATGTTATGATTAATAATAAAGGTTTAATATTTTGAATAAGATTCTTTGTATATGTATTAGACTTGAATATAATTTAAAATTGTATTATATCTTTTAATTGAAAAACTAGTTATTTTGAAAGAACTCATGTATTGATTAGGGATAACAAAAAAGAAAAATTGGATATGCGAGTAAAATTTTTAATGAACTGTAAATATGTAATTAAATTAATATTCGTTTAATAATGGGTGGCGATCGATAACAAGTTATTTATACCTACATGTATTTGTATTTAATTTTTTTATTAATATTTGTATACATAAAATAATTTAGTTAATTTATTTTTACACTAAATATGTGTTATAATTATTTATTTTAGTGCAAAAATATGTTATAAATTATTTTTTAATATATATATATATATATATTTATATATATATTTGAATGATTTATTTTTAGTTTTATTTTGTTTCTTATCTTTTGTTTTTTATTTTTTTTTAAATATCCACATATATTTGTAATATTCATAAATATATAAAAAATTTATTGATACTCACTATTAAATGGATAATTACACTAGATAGGGCAAGTAACATAGACTATTACTTACTCTGATGAGTCCAGTTATCATCCCTAGTATTGATTTTAGACTTTACTCTTCCTCTAGTTATAACTTTTTTATTTAATTATTAACTAAATCCCTTTAAAGAAAAAAAGAAAGAAAAGACAAGCTGGAATAATAAAAAATGCCCATACCCTAAGATTGAATTAAATTGATTCAGATACAATGATTTTTTCTCGAATGGATTCAAACTGAAATGCTGTACCAAAAAAAGAAGCTACCAAAAAGAACACTGAAATGTGAACACTATATAATACCAATAAAACCTAAAATAAAAGTGTAAATTAATATAGATACATATACTTAAACACTTCAAAACTTGTAAAATATCAACACACTCATCAAAGCAAGGTTCACATGATCCTTCTCTCTCCCTGATTTTTATTCGATAAAGAAAGTGTTTGTTTTATATATTTTGTTTGACACCTCTCTGTAAAACGTCAAATCCCCTGACAAAAATGATTTTTCTTTTCCAGAAAGTGTAAAGACAAGTATAAAATAATTAATAAAAAAAATAAAGGGTACAGAAAGAAAAGGGTTGGAAGCTTGTGAATCGTTTAATTTAGCCAGGTTCTGAGAAAGAAAACTAGTAAAACATAGTGAAGTTGTTGGGTGGTAATAATTATGTTGGTGTATAAAATATGCAGTTTTTATATATTAATGATGTAGCAGGAAAAAGGAAGGCAAAAGAAAAAAGAAAATAATAAAATTAAGACAGAAATGTAAAAAAATGTTCCCAGATCTATCGGTAGCCTCTCAAGACTCCAGTTTAGGACAAGCCGCCAGCAGAAAATGCGATAATATTCAGATTGTCAGCATGTCTTGCAGACGTGCGCATAATAGAGTTTATGTTTTTATCAAAAATATAATTATTTTTATTAATGTTTTGAAAATTGAAATAAGATAATATTTTTTAAATAATCAGCTTTATATATACTTTAAGGAAGAAAGTGAAGAAAATGAGTAGAAAATGGAATAATTTTATTTATTTTTTCTTATTTAACCGTGTATAGAAAGTAAGAGGAAGAAAAAATATAAATGTAAAAGGACATATGTAATTTTAATGAATAAAGTATGCAAAAAAATATATATTATCTTATTATTTAAACTAATTAATCATATTCTTTATCTTTCCTTTCAAATTCCGACGATCATAATTATTAAAACAAACATATAACTAGGTATTTTCGTCGTCTCCTTATTTCATGCTTGGTATTTCACGTGTTACAATCAAACCATTATAGACGTAATTGTTGATCATGATCAAGGTCATATTCATAATTTACTTTTAACACCAAAATCAAGATAACCATGAATTTTGTATCAGGGATTAGAAGCACAACGTATGCTTTTTCAATCATCACTCAATACAAAATGTTGTTGTTATTGTTGTGTGTTTTTTTTTTTTTTTTTTTTTTTTAAATAATTAGATTAGAGTAAGTTACGCTTGTACAAAGTCAGGGTGAATTACTATTTTTTTTAAAAATTTTTCTAAAATTTTTCTATTAAAATAACATATTGTTTATCTCATTTCTAATGCAAACCCTCACAAAAAAAAGTATAACACATTAGAGAAGACGAATTCGATTCCTAATTATTAAGAACAACAAAACTTAAGTAACTGCATGTTCTATCAAATGTTGTATTTGGTTAAGACTTAAGAGGGAGGTTATTAATAATAGTAATAATATTAAGTGAATAATTGTGACACGACACTGAAAAGTGGCAATATGGCAAAAAGGATTTATGGTGTGAAACAGACACCATTGATTTGTAACAGAGAGAGCCTCCATATTTTTCTGTCCCGATCCATCTGAATGAAGCAGAAGAATACAGTTTCAATTAACGAGGACAGACCCAACACTGACGAGCAAAGAGAGGAAGTGGTCGAGGTCATAACCCAACACATATGTTAATGTCACTAGCTACCATCAAACACCACTCTTAATATTACACTTATTAACCTACTTCTTCTAACACACTTTTTAATTAAAAAAATTACGATTTTTAATAAATTTTAATCTATAATAAAAAAATATGCTTAAAATAAGATGTTGTATCGCTAACAGTTCTTCCTTTGAATTATATATATATATTTTTACTTTTCAATAAATTTTAACTTAAGAAAAAAGTGTTAGTTTAGAAGAGTATGATATAAAATGTGTTACTAGCTTTTTTCGGTGTGAGAAACACGAAGAGACCGAAGTTCTACTTGAACACTATCATGTTGAATAGAAGGGACAAAGCCGCAAATAGATAAGTGCTCGTATTTCTTTACTAGATGAAATTCATATATATTATACTGATTGTCTTTTTACCATCAAATTCTTGAATTAAATAATGACATGTTATTTTTTTAAAATAAACAAATTGTATTAAAAGTATGTTTAGAAATTTAAAAGATATTAAGTGCGTCACTATTTAATTTGAAATTTTAAAAATATTTAATGAAAATTATTTGTCTTTTATATATATATATATATATATATATATATTTGTATTTTTATAATTTTCTCATAGTCGGTATAAAGGTTATGGATAGAGAGATTGCGCAATTTATACTAGAATTTAATATCTATGGATTATGAATGTAAAGTTTTACATTACCAACTAGTAAAAATTAAATTATGATAAGTGTGACGTAAGGAGATTATGATAAAAGTTGAAAAAGTTATCACATGTGACAATGGTGAGTGAATGACAATATAAGCATTTACGAATTGAAATTTAGGGTTTAA